GGACATTATAGATTCATAGGCGAAATATTTTTTCATGTCAGGTAATAAGGAAAACGGACACTTTGTTATATTCTTATGAGCCTAGAACAGTGTTGGTCCACAACCAACACGAAATAAGCCACAGAATCATTGTTACTACTATCATTCTATAATTCCGAAAACGCCCATTTGACAGATTTCGACATTTCTCTAACTAAAATTCATTGAAGCTAAGCACGGATATTACCTTGTCTTCCTTCCCCCCTTTTTTTAACGCTTTTAATTCAAATTTACTCAGCTTCTATCCGTAATAAAATTTTCCTATTAGAAGCCTTGTTTCTCTTTATGTCTCGTGATGTGTCTCTTATTTCACATCTCTCTTACTCATTGCTCTCTTGCGCATTGCTCTCTTGCGCATTGCTCTCTTGCGCATTGCTCTCTTGCGCATTGCTCTCTTGCGCATTCGGCTCATTTCCAACGTACATAAGTCGAAAAGGAAGCCACTCAGCTGAAAGGGGATTTTTCTGGTAATGATAAAGAAAACAGAAATTAACAGTTCGAAAAGAGCTTTATACTTTACTTGAAGTTAGTACTACAGAAATCACTGATATGTCCTTGCTGTTTTTGTAAAATTGGCTGAAAGAATTAACAGCAACAGAAATCATATATATGTCAAGACTTAGGATGGTCTTTTTTTGTGAGGGTCTTAATGGGGTGATAGCTTTAACAGTTAACAGTTAAAAGTTCTTCCATTTTACGGCTAAAGGTTAATTTCTTTTCGTTAAGGTTAATTGAAAAATATTTACGACTAAAGGTTAAAATTTATCAATATATAAATTTATTTGCTTTTATACTGCTAACGGTTTAATTCCATTGACCTCTTAGGCCATACCATTCAATTCATTCACGCTTTTTTCTTCTTTTTTTTTTGAGCAAATTCGTTATCAGATGGAAACAGGAAAGTCACTCGACAAATTGACGAAGATTTTAAGGCCATTTTATTTCTTTTGGCAATCAGAATCGTGGTTTCCCTCAAAATGATTATAATTACGTAAAATAAAACTGACATAACTCTAGAAGTTTTCCGTGGGTTGCTCCGGCGTACCTTTCTCATCGTCGGCGCAAATTGACAAATGTAATTGAGTCTTGGCGGCGTGAAATACTTAAAATGTTTGACATTTTCCGTATCTCTTAGCATGCAATGAATAACTTGCCAGTAACCGGATCCTTGTGTTTGCGCAAGGTTGTTTGACGTAAAAATACACGATTTTGACCAGAGATTATCGCTATTTCGCCGCCATTTTATCACAAATGGATTTAGGTAATGTTGATACGAGAGAAGCGTACGTTTTTGTACGATCAACCATGAAATATGTAATAAAATCTACTGACTAACCTCTCACCTTGCGTAAGGTTTATTGCGAAATTTACATCGGCAATGGTGAGAAATAAGATTCAGAAGATAAGTAGGTCGAGTTCCTGTTTGTTTCAGAAAAACACAAGAACGGTTTCTTCAACACTAAAATTTTCTATAGTGATTTCTTCGGGTGATCTAGCTAACTAATCATGGTAGTTTATTGTTACTACGCAAGTCCTTCTAATGCTACCCTCAGTATCCTACGCGTCCCATGGAATCGCCTCCCGGCGTCTTGTTTCGTATGGTCGTGCGTGGTTCAAGGCCGCACACAGAATGCAGCTCTTGGTTGCGTTGTTTGTCTGTCATGAAGCTTCGAAGAAGACCATGGACTAAATATAACTACTTTGTACACAGGGCGTAAAGCGGTTTAAGAAATGGTGCCTTACCTTTCATAAAGCTCGATATTAAACTAGCTTGGTTAATTGACCAAATATTTGATATTATCAGTCAGTAGGAAACTTGACTACCCCTAATCTACTTAAACGCTTTTCTTCGTTGATCTTCTCAATCAATATCGCACGTAAAAACTTTGAGTTGATATCGCATACAATGACGAGAATAAGGCTTTTTCTCCTCGCGCGAGTTGCTAAGTTGTCGTGAAATATGTTATGAAAACTAAAGTATCTAAGATTGACTACGACTACTCCACGTCAGGCAAAGCAATAAAAATGCTTTTCAGTGATATCGCGTGGTTATGACTGTTAGGTGTCAGTTTGCGTGCAATCGATATCATCGCACACAAAAGTCGTAAGAACTGATGAAAAGTCGTAAGAAGTTTTTTTTTTTAATTCTTACGACAAGTGGTTGGCAGGAACCCGAGGAAGCATAAGTGCATAAGACTTTTAGTTAACGATCTTTAGCCGGATTATGCAAATTTCTCTTATCTAACCGTAGCTGCCTTAATGAAGCAATTAACAGTACATTAATTATTACTTCAAGGGGGCATTCCTCAGTGATGATGAGCTAAATCTAGCCCGCCTTTGAAACGGACGATAAATAACAGTATACCAGTTTTATAGATTTTTCTTTTGAACCAAACTACGGAATAAACAAAACACTTTAAAAGTTCCTACTAGAATATTACCTTTAGAGGTTTTCACAAGATTCCAACTTTTATAACTTTTCTGTGTTATACATGTTGGGATGTTCATTTAAAGAAGTTGTTCGCTTCGTCGCTTGCGCAAAACAAATAGCAAATTCTGAGATTCCAAAAAGGAATTTTAACCTCTGAAACATAGATTTCGCGCTCCGATGCCACCAACGACGAGTTGCAGAGACCTCGATTAATCCTGATCGAGGCAATAATGGTGCTTCCTTCACACTGTTTGAATCAGCAATGTTAAAAGAGTCGAGTGAGCATCAATTGAATATAAGAAAAATGGTTAGTTTGAAGTTCTTTGTCGAATAAAGGAGATGTTCTTCGTTTTGTCACATGGGTATAAGAGAAAAAAAAATTAATTCCCTCACCGAAAAAAAACCTGCGTCGAAGCTTTCTTTCTGCATATAGTAAACAATGCTTTAACAAATTCAGGAATAATGGACGGATGTGAGCCAGTAATATGATAAAAGTCACATTCAAATTAGGTACGCGAAGAAGACAGTTAAAACACTTATCATCAAAATCAACCCTACCAGCTTCTTGATCGTAATCGGCTCCGGAATAATCAAGAAATACTTTATCTGATCTTTTTGACCTCGTGAAGCAACAAGTGGTTTTGATGTTGTGGGAAAACCACACGAAAACTGCTAAGTGCTGTAGTTCTGTTTACGCCTCATTGTTTTTTGAAGCTTCAACCGACTCTATTTCTATGCACTCCACAACCGTAAAAAAGTGTCTATTATCAAGCATCGATGATAAAAGAAATAGCATGCAGAGAAAATAATTAAAATGGAATATAATGCAAATGTGAATACTACTGTGTCTTACGATAAAGTTGAAGCAAACGGATGCACTTTCACTCCTCTGTGTCCTGACAACTCCTACACCTTAGCTAATGCGTTTTCAGGAAGAACATCTTCCGGAGTAAAATACCACCTCTGCCATCAATTAATAGAGTAAAACGCCAAAACTGCATGTCGGATGTCCCACGGATCGAGGATATATATATATAGATATATATACATGTAAGAGAACGGTTCCAAAATCATTGAATCCGAAGAGTAGATCAAACTCACTTAATTACCGATCTTCTGGTGAAAAATTTCACATCTGGAAGCAAGATCATGAAGACTTCAACCTTTATTTCGACTCTCTGTTGCTTTATCATTTTGTATTCTTTCATTCACGTTTCCGATGCCTTTTTCAAGGGACATGGTAGAGGTAATGTTGGTAAGAGGTTCCTCGAGGTACGTATTTCACATTGTATACTTGAATGATCTTAAATGCCAGCTAATTAGTATTTAGAAGGAACACAACAATCTGCCAATTTTAATATGCTCCCACTTTCTCGATTGACTATGCCAGTTTGATTTGAATTAAATTCAAGATATCTTACAATTCGCGTACGGACCGACAATGTTAATGGCGCAGAGGACCCATTTTATCAATGAACTCACTCCGTAGCTTAAGCCCGCATCATTCACGTTTAATATGTCACAGCGACAACGATGGTTTCGATTCATTTTACCTTTTTATAGCTCATAAGAATTGGTATAGTTTACCTTTAATTTTTTTCTCCGACGAAGTTATTTTGGTGAACATTAATGGTGTATAAATAAATGAATAACTCCCTGAGGATGTGGGTTGATCGGCAATTATATAATAACGTAAGGAAGTAAATTTCTATGAAAATTGTTTCGCATTGTTTTGTTAGCAATCAGAAACATTGCTCTAGAGCCGAAGTCTCCAACTTTCTTCTTTTTCCTTTCAGCAGAAAAGAAATATGCAAAATATCTGCCAGTCCGTTTACGAGCTCTGTGCAACTCATCAGCAGACACGTGACACACAGGCTGAAAATAGGAAACTAAAGAACAGAGACCCCGAATTTTCTCGATCATCGATAATGCAATTTTGAACATTCTGAAATAGCATTGGAGAAGATTATCAGCGTTACTGTTTTAAAATGCAGTAACATTATTCTTCAAAAGAATTTTAATTGATTGAAAAAAGGAACATGTATAAATGCTGATTATTTTAAAACTTCATTTGGCTTGTTTAATGATTTGTTTCTTAAGGACTATGGGAATTTATCAAGCTTGTGATTTGACAATAAATAAGTGAACGGTAGATATGTTGCTGTTGTTTTTCATTCTTGTTGTTATTTTGCCAAACTCTATAATAAAAAAAATAGGTTATGGTTATTTGGCCAGCATCTTGCTCAGAAGAAGGGAACAATATTTCTTTTAGATTCGCTGATGTAAGAGAAACCAGTAGTAATTAGCTGTAAAACATCCCATATTTCTTTTAGATTCGCTGATGTGAGAGAAACCAATGGTAATTAGCTGTAAAACATCCCATATTTCTTTTAGATTCGCTGATATGAGAGAAACCAATAGTAATTAGCTGTAAAACATCCCATATTTCTTTTAGATTCGCTGATATGAGAGAAACCAAAAGTAATTAGCTGTAAAACATCCCATATTTCTTTTAGATTCGCTGATGTGTGAGAAACCAATAGTAATTAACTGTAAAACATCCCTACATTATTAATACGCTATTCATCAATTCATGCATTGAGCATGTGATAAAATTAGAAAAACGTATAGGCAAGAGTGCGTTATGTTTATCAAGTACAAAGGTTACCTTCAGCAATTGGAAAATAAATTGATAATAACTGTAAGGCAGAATTTCTTCAGTAGTACGGTAAACGTTGATCTGCTCGAATCCACAGCCTCAACTCTGAAACGGTTCACAAAAGAAAAATCTAATGGCTGCTGTGAAAGCATTAAAGCGTTGGCCGAATCATTTTAGCGGCGAAGTAAAAAACTAAAAAGGATAACGTAACTGCTCTTAAAAAACATTAATTACAGTCAAAAAAACAGCTGAAATTAAACGAGAGAGAGAAACAGTAAAGTACAGGCTGTCTACACTGAACAGGTAAAGCCCGAGAACAAATTCATCAGGTCACCCACTTTCCTACGGGTACAGGTCTGAGGGCTGTCTATAGATTAATCTGGACTCTCTAACGTTCTGTCCGACTTTTTTTTCTTCAATTATCATTGAAGTAAAACTTTAGTAAGATTGTTCTTCGAAGACTGATCAAGGGACAGTGTTTCCGTCCAATACCTTGCCTGCTACTTTTTTGCGCCAACTGGAATACAATAACATGTCACTCACTAAATTCATTAGATGGACTTTCACAAAAGTGTGCCAAAGGACATTTTCTTTTCTATCATGGAGAGACAGATATTAATAGGTAAATCTTTGCTTTATAAAGCGAGAACTATAAATTCTTCGTATCCATTAAGAAGAATCGTTTTTCATTTTGTGAGTTACAGTCGCTGGAAATATGTTATCCTTATTTGACAGCATAAAGGAATTTAGCGAGCCTATATCTTAGTGAATTTAGTATTGAAGTAGCTCACCAATATGTTTACAGACCTTTAAAGTGGAAATGTAACGGGACATTATAGATCCTTCATGAGCGAAATTTTTTTTTCATGCCAGGTAATAAGGAAAACTGACACTTTATTATATTCTTATGAGCCTAGAACTGTGTTGGTCCACAATGAACTAGAAATAAGCCACAGAATCACTGTTACGAACATCAATCTATAATTCCGAAAACGCCCATTTAATCGTGGCCTTAATCAACGGAAAACAATGCCTTACACATAAATTTAAGAAGACAAAGCCAAGTGATCGTGTGCTCAATATTGAGCCCGTCTCGCCATGACAAATGGCAATTATTAACAATACAATGACATTTCTCTTACTTAAATTCACTGAAGCTAAGAACGGATATTATAATTATTTTTATGTTTTTTTACGCTTCTAATTCACATGTATTAGTTTCCATCTACACGCAAATTTTCCTATTAGGAGCTTTATATCTCTTTATGTCTCGTGATGTGTCTCTTATTTTACAACTCGCTATGCAATACTTAACACATTGCTCCTTTCCAAGGTACTTTGTTGAAAAGGAAGCTTTTAGTCGTCACGGAAAGGGGATTTTCTAATAATGGCAAAGAAAACAAAAATACACTTTGTCGTATGATAGACGCGAGGCAGTAATGTGATAATGGTCTGTTTAGGAAATAAGCCTTTGCCACCAAAGGAAAGCTTTCCGAATCAATGATTATTAGCGTTTTTTCTTAATCTTCTGTATCTAAACTCGCGCAGCAGTAAGTAGTTTAGGTTATTAAGGAAGATTCTTGAAAAAAAATTCAAGTTGGGTAGTTTTTTTTGCTATGACATCATATACTTAACACTTTGAAGAAGTGAATACTACTTCACTGAAATAGAAAACTGGCAGAGAGATTGGTTAACATGCAGTTGAAAGTGTTACGTTCTGCAGCTACAGATTACACGAGCAGGTGCATTCTCAGTTCTTTGTCTCTTTACAAACATTCATCTTAACTAATGCGTTTTAAGGAAGGAAGTTTTCGGAAGCAATGTACCGCTTCTGCCATTAATTATATGATAGAGCAGGATGTAAATCGTTTTTTTGCGGATATCCTGAAGATGGAGGTCATATAAACGGAGCAAACGGTTCCCTTCCCATTGATCAATAATTTACTATAAACACTAGAACCAGCAGTGGTCTTTAGAAGTTAATTCAGTTTGACATGAAAACTTCAACAATGGTTTGGACTCTATGTTGCTGTCTTATTTTGTCTTCTTTTGTCAAATTCTCTGACGCATTTACCCTCAATAACCAAGTTGGTAAAAGGTTTTTTAAGGTCGGTATGAAATAATATATATTTTATCTCAGAGAAATTGTGGGATGATTGACAACGTTGATTAAGTAGAGATAAAATGAACCTAATTGAACTGTCTTAAATTTAGGGCCACCATTACTTTATATTTACTTTATAAACAACATTTTCTTCTTTAACACAACCCATTTTTTGACCACTGGTTTACTGGCCATTATCACTACCATCGGTCTTATAAAATCTAAGCTGAATATTTCGGCACAGTTAATCAATTCTACGGCCTTTTTATACTTTCTATCGACTTTGTAAAGGCACTTAGTAACAAACACTCTTTCTGCTTCATTCCTTAAAGCATAATAGAGATATTCGGGATATCTGCCGGTTCGTCTACGAACAATGTGGTACCCTGAGACCCAAGCTACAGTCACGTGACACAAACACTCGTGAGTCGAGATCCAAGAAAAGAGACATTATCGATGAATGAAGATAACGCAATCCACGCCGCTATCGAAGAAAATTGTACATGTTGCTTATGTAAATTATTGTTAAAAGAAGAGTAGAACTTTGTTCAACTGAAGTCCACTGAATATCAAACTGAGTGCATGATTGCACATCATAAAAAGTTTCATTTCTTGTGAAGTAAGCAAATCTATAAGGACATTGACTTGACAATAAATTTGTAGGTGGTGCAATTTTAGAGGCATGTTTATTACTCGCTTTAACGGCTCGTGATCAACAAAGGGTCTGTAAATGACAAGAATTTCCCGTGTTCTCCCGCACATCCTCTTTTTACTATTTCTCACCAAGCCTTGGCTTCCCTTTCTTTACAGCATTAGATTTACATTTACTCCTAGCTTCTAAATCACACTTTTTCGCTCGGTCCCGCGCGGTTCAGCAGTCCATCAAGATCATGAGTTCACTATGCAACCCACATCGAAAGGCATCGAATTTCTAAACCAATCAGAGACCGCTTACTGTGTCCCAAGCTCATGAAACTGTAAGACAAAAAACATCTGTCTCGATTTCATTACCGAGCCTCAATGTAAAAAGGTCTAAGAGAATTTGCATTTGCGTCTTCTAACATTGTATAATTTCCTTTGCTTCTTAACTCAGTCGTTCTTAAAGGATCAAATCTCACAGGCAGTGGTAACTCTTGCATACATTACCGGAGATAATGGGAACAATGAAGCCAGGCTATTAGTTAAAAGTCACCGTGGGCCCTGTGGTGAAAAAGTACATTTCCCTCAATTTAACAAACACAGCTTTCGTAGTTTCTGAGATAACTTAAGTATGTAAGTATATTTAATGAGTTTATTTTCTTGATTCCTTAGTTTACAACAAGAGCAATAATAGGATTCTTGATACATTTAGTCCATAACATCAATAATACTCGCTATAGAAACAAATAAACTTGATATTAACTAACACTTTGCCAGCCAGGAGTCCTCGTCACATAGCGTGCGCATATAAAATTCTCTCTATTCTATCTAATGTCCTACACCACATAATCTACAGCATTATTCTTCGCAGGATATTTTTTCAATGTTGTCATTTACAAAGAAACATGAATCTACCATTCTCACAGCGTTGAAATTGCCGGGCGCTTTGAAATCGTTTTCTTAGCCTCTCATCTGAGGATTGCCTCCCGCGCTTTTCCTGCGCAAAGTTTCTCAGATCTTCTTTCAAGTCGTTGTCTTTAGTTACAGCAGAAAACTCACGCAACTGCTTAGCGTCCATGCCCAGCAACAGGACGAGAAAAAAAGAAAATACAAGTAAACTGGAGCGAGCCAACATCTTATTTCTTGGTGGTTGACCAAACTGATGCGATTCACTGCTTTGTTATTAAATACTAGCGAAAAAAAGGATTAAAAAAAGCAATTATCTCAAGTTAAGTATTATCCATTCCACAGTACGAGTAAGTGCAGTTTGAAACATAGTAAAATCAAAGATTTCAGATTAACGTTCATTTTCAATTGGTTAAAAATCACATAATGACATGTACATACAAAAAAACGCAGGTGAGAATTGCTGATTTAAATAAGGATGTATCGTTTTGAGATGAATAAAAAATTTATTTTTAAAAAGTCAACAAATGAAAAAATTATTTTATTTCAGTAATTCAATATTGAAAAGTTAGTCTTCGTCTGAACGTTAACTAATTTGATAAAGAGTTCTATTGGGGACGAGAGCACGTCAAAAGTTCGGTAACACCATACAACGAAGATTAAAAGAAATAAAAAATTTGTAACAATTACTTTCTCTGTGACTGTCATTAAGGTTAAACTTAAACTTGCCATGGAACTCGAAGCAAAACTGTTTCCGGTTGTGATATTAGCGTTTATTGACTGTTAATCACAATATCATAACTAAATGATTTTAACGACTTTGACAATGTTTTTTTTTTAGCTGGAAGTAGATTGAAAATGTAAATTTATAACATTACGCCTTTTTTGTGGGGGTAATTTAAGATTTTTGTAAAGGGTGGCAGGAACAAGCATCTAACAAACTCTCCATAGATTTTTTTACCAAAACGTTTGCAAATAATTTCCTAAAAAACGAAATTGATGGGTTTCATTACTATGCACAGTTATCGCGATAAACGCGATTTGGGTTTTGAAAGATTTCTGTAGGGTACTAATCAAACAAATTAAAAAAGATAAAGAATTTATCTATGAATAAAACCTTCGAAATTTCTGTGCACAGTAGAAATGAAAACGGTAGACATGTTGAAGATATCTTAATTTAGTTTTCTCACTGATCCGACTGAAAATACATAGCGATTATGAGTCAGATTAAAAGTTAGAGAAACATTGAAGCAGGTTGGATACTCGACTTAAATCAATCTTTGAACAACTGTTAGAACGGTAATGAGGGCTACGTGCCCAATGCTCGATCCAAACGTCAAATTAAAGATCGCGGTCTAAAATTGTTGTGAAACTAGTTTTTGATGAGGTTTGGGAAGAGTCAAATACTGACATTGAAATAAGTCGCTAAATTTAAAAACATCTATTATCATAGGATAATTTACGAGCTAGCAAACTTACCTTCAGCGTTCGGTCTTCGTAACAGTGACGATTTGATTTTCCGGGATATGTCTTTAGAAGTCTCTAAATATCGCTGCCAATTCAGGTTTAAATGTAAGTTAATTTTCTTTTGTCATCCTGTCACCGGTCTGCACTGATAACTGCCTATAACTAATATTCCTTAATGGACACCTTGTCAGTTAACACAATTCATGAAAGTCTTCCTAATTTCAAACTTTTTACGACCACGTAACCTCATTTAGATATAGAAACCTTTCATAGCATGGTTCACCCAAGATCTTTGGGAAGAATTCCCATAAAAAATTTTTTCAAAAATTAGTAACTGAAAAAGCAGAGAAAAGAGAGTACAGATGAGGCATTATCGTAATTCTTTCTTCAACCAAAACAATCTCTTAAATATTTGCGCCTCTCGATAGTTAATAATCACAGTGTTTGCTGTATTTGTTGTTCACCAACACCGCTTAAATATTAAAAAGTACAGTTGTACATCTGAGCGCGAACCATCTTCTTTGGTCTCTTAAGTTTAGATCTTCGTAGGTCTCTGAAGACAAAACTCTTTCACTATTGAGTATTCCTGATGACTGATAGATGACCTCTTTACCCTGACAAAGAACACATAATTACTCCACTTTTGATTTGAAGTATCCATAATTTGTGATAGATTTAAACTGCATATTAATTGAGCCGAAGTCCTGGGGGGGTGGGGATTTTAAGCCTCTCAACAAGGTTCTGTAATTAACACAGAAAATCTATTCTATGGTCAGGGCTGCAAAAAAGAAGCGAGATTTCTAAATTAAGATTTTATATAAATAGACTCATATTGGCGTGTACTCAGTTGCTCTTGATGGTAAAATCTTTACCAGTTTTCATAAAATTTACGCATTTCGTTTAATTTAGATTTCATACACATGTGGGAGGAACGAAAGAAGCATTTGGAGAGCCTATAAAAAATGTTACTCATCTTCACACACTCTTCGACTAGTTCTTAAAGTTTACATGTGAAAACCCTGTACTCACGCGTAGGCTTCAGAGCTTTAACGACAATCTGTAATTGAGCCGAAGCGCCTTAATAAAAGTTTACATGTTAAAGTTTTTTCATGTCAGTCTTTTGGTGACATCAGATGAGTATGTTCACAAATTAATTTTTGTGAAAACTCGCGTAAGTTCTCTCTTTCTCCCTTTCAAGCTAATTCAAATTAGTAAAAAGGGGAAAAGATAATATATCAATGATATATCAATGATATATCAACTTTCCGAATTGGTATTCTGCGCTTCTTAACCCTTGTTTGTGTATTTTAATGCTTTTATGGCAGAAATTGGAATTGGCTTTGTCAAAGTGAACAATACTAAGTGAGCAAGTCCAAGACTCTCAATAAAACCGGTAAAAAGCGCGTGAAACCTAGCAAAGCATTCGAAAAGGGCACACTCAACCGCTTGTTATACATGCCAGCGGATGTATTGTTTTGTTTATAAAAACTATTGCTTTTTCACTTTTTTCCCGCTTGGCGACATTATGGTTGCTTTCGCGTCGAATTCCTAACTATAAATCTATTGTCAAGTCAAAAGCTTGTTATACTTGCTTAGTCCACAAGAAATGAAACTCTGTAAAATTAGCTACTTCGCTCTTTTTTCAGTCTCTTTAATGATCAAACTTTCTCCTTCAGTGCTAATTTACAGAAGCAATAGTTTACTCCGAGGGCGCCTTGATTTGTGCTATTTTCGTTCATCGGTAAAATAAATCGATGTCCCTTCTCTTGAGTCTTGTATCTTCAGCCTTTATGTCACGTGACTGCTGCTCAGGTCTCATGCCAACACATTGTTCTAAGGCGATCTGGCAAATGTCTTGAATGTTTCTTTCGTGCTTCAAAAGAGGCAAAAGAACAAAAGAGGCTTTATTAAAGGAATGCTTTACGAAGTCTAGGTATGACTAAGAAAGGCGGTGAAAAAGCGGCATAGAATTGAGTTATTTGAACCAAACTTATAGATATGTCGCTTTAAATCACTGATGAAAGTAATTATGGTCAGTGCACCAGTGGTGAAGGTTTGTGATAACGAGGAAAAATATTGTTTACAAAGTGAATCTGATCTCTTTGTTCTGAAGTAAGAGTGATGCCCTTGACTTCAAGACATAGCTCAATTAAGTCCATTCTAACTGTACTAAACGTTTCAATCACCCAACAATTTCTCTGAGATTAAATATAATTATAGTAATCAACACTTACCTTAAAAGACCTTCTACCGGGTCTGTTACTGACAAATGCGTCTGAGAACAGGAAAAAAGAAGACAAAATAAAAAAGAGACAGAGAGTCGAAACCATGGTTGTGGTTTTCATGTCACAGTTGCTTCTAACGAACACTGCTATTGCTACAGTTTAGACTAAACTTTGGACTCAGTGAATTGGGAATCGTCTCCTTCGTTTATATGACCTCCATCCTCGCGATATCACAAAAAATATATTCACATCCTGCTTTATTTATTCCCTAATGGCAGAGGCGGTGCATTACTCCCGAAAACTTCCTAAACGCATTAGTTGAAAAGAAGGTCTTGTAGAAACAAAAAAGAAAAGAAGTGTAAGTACATCTGCCTGCCTCATCTGTAGCCGCAGGGTATGTTCTACTGCATTTAAATCATGTTCCCTGTCAGTTTCCAATTCAGTTGGAGTAGCCTGATACGGTTTCTTCAGGGTGTTAAGTATTATAATATCAAAAGGAACTAAATTGCCCACTGACTTGAATTTTTACAAGGATCTTCCTTAAAAGTCTAAACTACTTGTTGCTGTGCGTGGTTAGATGCAAAAGATTAAGAATGAGCGTTGATATACGATTACTGGATTATGCGATCAGTGTGGTTGATAATTTACCAAGCTTCCCTTTGGCGGGAAAGGTTTATTTCCTGTACAGATCATTATCACATTTCTGCCACGTGTCTATCAAATGGCGAATGGTTCATTTCTGTTTTCTTTAGCATTTCTAATAAATCCCCTTCCGCGACAACTAATAGCTTCCTTTTCGACTAAAGTACCTTGGAAATGAGCAATGTGTCAAGTATCGCGGAAAAGAGAGTAGTAGAATAAGAGAAACGTCACGAGACATAAAGAGAAACAAAGTTCCTAGGAGGAAAATTTGAGTACAGATGGAAACTGATACATGCGAATTAGAAGCATAAAGAAATAATAATAAAAATAATAATATCCGTTCTTAGCTTCAGTGAATTTTAGTTCGAGAAATGACCTTGTATTGTTAATAAGTAATCTCATGTGTTTGCGAAGCGGGCTCAATATTGGACACATGATCACTGGGCATTGTCTTCTTGAATTTTAAATGTTAATGGCATCGCAAGTGTGATTAAGGCCACGGTCAGGTGGGAGAAATTAGTTTTGCGTGCACTACTACGGAATTATAGATGTTGGTAAACGTACTTCTCTGACTTGTTACCCGGATGTGGGCCAACACAGCTCATGGCTTCCTAGAACATAACAGAGTGCTAGTTTTCGTTATTCCCTAGCATTAAAAAAAAACTATTTCGCTCATGAAGGATGTCTCATGTCACAGCTAATGTTGTTTTGATGCTAGCTAGCCGGCGGCTAACGGACCTGTGAGGCCCATTGAGACTTTCGTTTAAATCTTGCTCTGTGAAAGGATAAACGCTGTGCGAGTAAAGTGTCAAGATACAAGACACTCTTACAAGTGATCGAACTTTTTGTTCGAATTCCGGAAAAAATAACCACTAGGACGATCTTTAATAATAAATTCTGAAAGGAAGGCAGACTTAGATACAAACCTGTCAAACATGGCAACTCGGACAGGTCAACAGCAACATGTCTTCCACTCACAAATATTTTGTCACATTACAAGCTTAACAAATTCCTTTAATCCTATAACAAGCCTATAAATAGGGCAAATAAAGCTTCCAATGATATGGATTTGTTCATCTTTTTTATCTCCTTTCGTTAAAAGTGAGTCTGTCCAATCTCCTCCTGTGGCGTTTAAGAATGTCTAATACTGTATCACACAAGCTTGTGTGTCGCGTGCCTGCTGTTGAGGTCTCAAAGGAGCATAGTGCTCATAAGCGAAACAGTGCAGCTTATATGGTTGGAGATAGTGGTGGGCCAAGAGGTGTAGATAGTTCTCCTCAGGCATCTGTTCTAGAAGCCGTCTAACATGAGGCTGATGGTCTTCGCCGTCTTCCAGTATTTTGCTTGTTTTTGTAGTTTGTATTTTCGTCAGAGTTACTTGCGTTTGTCAGAAATAGCTTTGGTGTAAGTTGCAGCGAGGATTACGGTGCATCTTTGTTAAGAAAGAGGACTAAAGTGTCTGACTTCTTGCAAAGACAACCATTCTTTTCATTTATTTTAAGACCCTGAGTTTTGGACCGATCTGGGGACTGGGACTAGAACCCTCGACTCCACTTGAAGTAACCGGGCGCTCTTTCAAACGATCCAACTACACAATGGGGGTTAAAAGCTTCACCATACGAATAAATACATACCTGACCCTAAAAATACGTTTATTTTTCTTTAAGTTTGCAGGACAAATAAAACTCATCTCTTCTTAACGAGGAACTTAAGCAAAGTACCTCCTAATACTACATCGTTACGAGATTTATCCGTTCATATTTGATTATTAGCTATGGCGAAAAATAGATTTCGTTTAATGATTATCATGAGATATAAACAAGGTCTGATGTATAAATACAGTTTAATAATTTTCTTCTAATTTCCTTGTAAGACTTCTTTTGGTTGAAAGTCGATCCCTTTTCTCTTGACATGGCTCGATCTCAGAATGGCACAAGTTTTGAGAATCCCTTTTGGATTGGAGTTCTGCCTGCAATGAATTCAAAGACGATGAGCTTGGCTAAATGATAAGAATTTACAATTACATTCTCATTATTTCTGAAATGCTTTTTTAGGCTTCTTTCATTTTTGCCCGGCAACGGTTAACCGGAAGAGTTAAGTCGACATCTGTATATGATAAATCTCCACCCGAATTCCACACTCTAATTTATGCCCGATTAATGTTCCGGAAAATAATGGCCCCTTCCAAAAGGGAAAATATGCGAATGTGGTAAAATCTCCCATCATGAGGAAAATTTCACGTCGGTTACCGAGGAGAAAAAGCCCAATCCTTAACGTCTTGTGTCCTTAAAAACGGCGGAGATTCCATAGTCACGGTATTACACTTTTCCATTTCAGACCCTTTTCCTAAATAAATGGTGATCGAAATATAAACAACTTATGAACATAGAAAATAATAATTTCAGCCATCTCAAATTTCTGTTAGTTCCTCAAATTTAGAATTACATCTTTTTTTATAGCAACACCTGGCTAGCATAAACTTAGTGGGACAAGCAAATCAGATTTTGCAAGACTCCCGTGCAATTTGACTTTTTATCAAGTTTCGTTTTTTCAACGGCCACACCGGAAGAAATGTCATTTTGATTTATACTGCAATTTTGGTTTAGACCCAGCCCACTTTGAAGTGTCTAACTCGCCCCAGATGTGTTCATCTGATCATGATACTAAAACGGGTACTTAGCCGTTCTTGTCTATTGTTTTGGCTGCGACATTTTCCATATTGGTTTTCCACCTGCATTGTCAAGCCTGTCAATCCGACATCGATACATCACTTTCATAACAATCACGATGACAAGTAAAAGTGTGGTCTCCTAGCAACTGCGGATTCTTCGCGTGAATCAGTTTTTTCCTACGTGCTAATTTTTGTTTTGATCACTGAAAAATTTCTTTTGCTTTTTAACGAAATCCGATCTGTTATCATGATCTTTATCAAGATGGCAGTATCACTTAAAGATTGAGAACATGGAATGAGCTAAGAAAATAAGATATGTGACAGATGAGGAATTAGATAACAGAAAACTAAATTTTTCTTAGTTTTACACAATATGCAAAACTGTGAAAACTTGTTAGTACCTTAAACTGTCTTTTTCCAACCATGTTTCCTACAAACGCCTCGGAAAAGCACAAGGAACACAACAAAACATAGACCACAACAACGATTTTAAAGCCCATTCTTTACAGTATCTATCGCGTGTTTTCAAATTTTTCTCTGTTTTCCCACCTCTTCTGGGTTTCTCTTTCCTTCCGTAAGACTCGTTAGGCCTTTCTAAGTATTTATATATGTTTTGCCTTTGAAAAATTTATGTTGTTATGTGTAATGGAGTGGGTGACGCTGTTGATGATTGCTTAGACTGAATTTTAGAAACCACATTACGAATCCATAATTACGCTGAGTTTACACACTGCAGATAATGTGTTGGAAAAGACCCTCTTAACGAGACGTGACTCAATTTAGGATGCTATTGTGTAAAGCGGTTGATTAATGAGACACTTACGCCCACTTTGATTATGAAGACACCTACAATTTGATGTTAAAAGTGTAAGTACTGTGTTCGAGTCAATCCTCTTACACACAAGTTCTTTTTCAGTCAGTTTATTTTCCTACGCAGGTGAAAATAGCGAACCATGGATAGCATGAATGTTCTTGCGCAAAGCAAAACGTCTTTTCAAACTAACAGTATTGGCCCAATCTATAAAGTTTGATGATGTCGCTATAATAACGTGATGCAATTCGCAAGTCTATAAGATTTTATATGGCTATTTCATTCAGTCTTATCTCTTCACTGCGATAAGGAAATTATGTATGAGATATTTCGATTTCAAACAATATGGCACAGATCATAACCACATATTGAAACAGCCCTGTTTTGGAACTTAGAATTCGCTACTTCGTGTATGATTCCGAAGTGATACTGAATGTGTTAAATGATTACGAGGGAAGAAATAATCACGTAATCATATAAGTTTCTGAAACGGTTCCCGAGCGGAAGGGACAAACAAAACCTTCGATATCATAGGAAAGAAGTAGTATGCGAGAACTCAAATTTAAACGAAGAAGCTCATTTAATCGAATAAAGGAAACCGCACTTTGATCTGAGGCGTAGCAATTACAGAATTCAATCAAGGAAACTATTATGTCAAAGTAACTCTGTAGATGATGGAAGTAAGTGTAGGTTGAGATGATCCTCCCAGCTATCAACGAGGACAATAACTCACCATTTCTTTACGTGCTCGGTTCCTTTGATTTATCTCGTCAAGCAATTAAAAATTCGCCGCAGAAAGCGAAGCAAAAGATCTTGGTCTTAAAACACTTACAAGACCGTTTTTGAACTTTCAGGAAAAGCTGTTTAAAAAAAACAGTGGACAATTTCTGTTTACTTTTTATTTTTTTCTGAAAATAACTCAGAGCGTTGTTTTTGCATCTATTTGTTTAGTGGTGATGCGAAGAGACATTATAGGCACCTGAAAAGAAAAAAAGGAAAACAGCCTGGCTTTGTTTAATTTCTCTCTCTTTGAGCTTGAAAAAAACGGAAGAATGCAAAATGATTTTGGTTCAAAATGGAACAGAGCGCAATCCTGTCTGATAATCCAGCAGATTTACTCGAATAGTGTACAAGTATTGACTAAGTTTTTTAATCCTGAAAACAATCCGAGTATTTTTTTTCTTAAGACGGCTACTCAACCCTACGCTTGAGAGGCAAAATTTCTAATTGCCAAGCTGTTAATACCTTTTGATGAACATGATTGGCGGTTTTGAAGTAATCCCTAGCCTTTCTCTTTTTAAACAAGCGGCGGGATCGCTTCATCTGAGAAGTTCTTTGGCGGCAAAACAAGGGATTGAAAACACGGATAGAGCTTTCAAAGTTCCTCAATTTTTACTCCAGAAGACACTAATTGGTGAAATGTCACATTAGCGTAATGTTTCTTGATTAAAGTCGGAAGAAAATTTTCAAAAGATATAACATTCTGTCACCAATAATTTACAACTTCAGGCTTTTGCCTTAACTAAGATAGACTTTGAAGGCAGCTATTCTTCTTTCCATGATTTGATTTACTGATCATGAATAATCAGTTTCTGACAAGGCTTAGATGACGTCGCGAATTTAGCAAGAATATGCTGGCAGGAAAATATTCAAACATCACCGCTGGTACCATATAGATGGGATCGTTCGCAGCTTTGTTGAAGTTAGTTTCTCCCTATTACAGTAACTCTAGGGCTACTTTTTTTGGGAGTGGGGCAAATTCATACTTCATAGCAGTCTTTCTCTTTCACAATGAGGCAGTGTTTCTTAAACTCGTATAAAAACGTATGAAGACGAAGTTCTTGTTACTTAAGAATAGATTCGCTGTTGGATAAACTATCAGATTACCGTGTAGGGATGTTAATGCCGGGTCAGTTATCATTTAATTTTTCTCCTTATATTTGAGAGTATGAAATGATGCTTAAGAGATCTTAAGCTGAGCCGGCCTTACTTAAGAATAGATTCGCTGTTGGATAAACTAACAGATTACCGCATAGCAATGTTAATGCCGGGTCAGTTATTTTTTTTATTCTTCTCCTTTTATTTGGGAGTATGAAATGATGCTTAAGAGATCTTAAACTGAGCCGGCCTAGCGAGCAGGATGTTGGGTATACACTTAAATGGTGGGGTCAGAAAATCTTAAAGACAGCTTGCAGTCCTCATGAAAGCTTTTTATGGAAAAAAAAACACACTTCTCTTAGTAACTCGTAGTAACTTGGTGTATTTTGACAAAGTGGTAATGAGTTTATCTTAAACTTATCGCAAATTTCGCATGTTTATATTTGATTTAGTCTACTGTCAGTTTGTGGTTCATTGCTGTCCTTAATGACCCGGAACTGACCCAAGTATAATATAACCGACCTTTCATTGACAAAACGTTGACAACATCCCAGGTCAAAGAGCACTTTTGAATTCAACTTACTGTCAGCCCTCTTTTCTGTTCACATGTACATACAAAGGTGGCCTCTTTGAACATAAACAGGTCGCTTTTGAGCGGTCTATGTGGCGGCGGTAGAAAATGAATAAGAAACCTCATTGTAAAGGCGTTGCAAATAATTCTTTTTGTGCCTCATGTTTAGCTTTTTCCTTCGACGGCCCATTGCAAGCTCTTGATTTTTGTTCTCACGGATTTCATACTTTTCCTAAACTTCCTCGTAATAGACTTGATAATTATATGTCAGTGTTATAGAACATGAATTTAAACTCAATCCTGCGATGTCTACTTTTGACTGATAAATTAATACTTTAAGACATAAACAAAAAAGAGACGAGATCTCGAAACATGGCCTATTGCACTACCCAATTAATTTGGGTCCTATCCATTCAAATGTAACTAGTGTTTTAATAATTTCTTCTATTAATTTGCTCGGTTCCACTAAGCTCTAACCGCCTTTGATAAGAAAATAAATCGAATGAGAGGAAATTTTTTTCCTGAAAACCAAAATTTTCGTAAACGTTCTTTAGGTGCCGGAGATCTTGATTTAAAGGAGTTTACTTTATGGAGAACTAAATACAAGTTACGAATATGAAGATATTACCATCATGTCACAGAGCGCAGGATAAATATGAAAACGAAAAATGCTTTCTTTCCACATTTTTGAGCCTAGTTTGATGACTAAGCTTGTAATCTGAACATTATTGGATAACCCTCCATTTCTAAGTCCAGTCACCGTTATCAAATTCTGATCATGCACGATTTTTAAAAGCTTCTTTTTCAGGGAACTGTTTATCGTGACGTATATTGGGGTGATATATACATCGTTTGTGTAGTTAAATCATTGATACGGTTCTTGCAATGAGAAAACTGCCAGGTAATGTATCTTAGTCATGTACGCCGATACGAAATGTTGGAAGTCGCAGAAAAAGCGGTCCTAACTATGATCATACTACCTCTTTACGTTCGGCAGAAAATGGTATTCAGAGAACAATTTGTTTAGTTAGTGAGCGAGGCGCAACAACAGCACACCACGAATACGGGAGAAAGCTTAGATCTTCTTTTTTTTTTCGTTTCTTCGTCATTTTTTCCTGCGTTGCGCTAATATCTTGACATGTTCACTGACTAAACGCCTCAGTGGAAAAGGCTATTCTAAAGATTATTGTAATGTCATTCAAAACACTCATGAATCGAACAACATCAGTTATTATTCGTCTGTGGATTTTGTTCTCCTCGTTTTTAAAAGTGTATGGTCTCTGTGGCTAAAAATCGATAATCAGCGCGCGTTTTTGACTATCGAGGAATTAGCGCTTTTTAGTTGATGCCTTTTTTTATTCTTACTGAATACTTCGAAAGAATATCCAGCTTTCTCTTTCTTATAATGGACGTTAATCATCCAAAAGAAAACTGAAAGCTCATAAAGATCATAACTGTAATTGGTTTTGAAGAGCATGGCTTGTGAAATATCTCAAGAGGCTGTTCTTTAAAAATCCAGTTGTTTTTCCTTTTTATTTTATTTTATTTTTTTTTTGGACAAAGTGGTACAGTTTCAGTTATTTGAACCAGAAAATATCCCCACTATTGACAGCCTTTGAAAAAAATGGTTATAAATAAACTTTTATTTGCAAAACTTGTGACCTATAACGCTAAAAGGCCCTTTTTAGCCGTTCGCGGGGCATTCATTAAAAACTTTATTCTCACAGTAGGTTTGAAAGCGGTCATCTTGAATCTATTACTGCTAGTAACAAAAAATAAGTGAAAAGTGAATTGCTGGAGAAAAATCTGAACACAATCTCTTGTGATCAAGTACGTTATTCTTTCTTTTTTTTTTTACTCTTTGATCAACGGATCTGTCCCAAGCAGAACGAGGTGAACACAAAGGCAAAAAGAGTCTTTTAAGCTAATACCCAATTCAATTATTTCCATGTTCTAATTTCTATTTCAAAGATCTCCCACCGGTGACCAGCGGAAATTAATTCGACGTGAATTTTACACACCGACCCGCGCACTATTCAATTATTCAAGCCTGTTTCAACCAGCGTGCTAAGGTCTAAAATAAGAACAATTTTTAAAACCGGTAGCAATTTAAGAAAAAAAAAACACGCAAAAGTATGTTTTTGTAGTTATGTAACTCTTACCAAATTCGGATGTATCAACAAAGTTGAAAAGGTAAAATGGCCACCGTAACGATTACAAAAGCTGACGTTTCGAGCGTTAGCCCTTCGTCGGAGCGACGACGAAGGGCTAACGCTCGAAACGTCAGCTTTTGTAATCG